AACCTCTTTGTTTCTCAAAGTATAGATAAGGGGGTTGAATAAAGGTGTCATCATTGTATAGAAAATGGAGAAGATTTTATTGAATTGTCTCAAGGAAGGGATATCTGGCAAAGTATAGACAATGATTAATGTGCCATAAAAGAGGCAAACCACCATGAGATGAGAGGAGCAGGTTGAGAAGGCTTTTCTTCCAATGGTGGACTGGATTTTGATGATGGTAGCAATGATGCAAATATAAGAAATGAGGCTCAAAAGAAATGGAACAACTACAAAAATAATGGATATGCAAAAAGAGAAAAGTTCAGTGAGACTGGTATCTGTACAGGACAGTTTCTCTAGTGGACGAAAGTCACAAAAGTAATGGTCTATGACATTAGGCCCACAAAAGGATAATTGAGTCATGAGAGCTACAAAAATGGCATTAAATGTTAAACTGCTTACCCATGCCCCTACCATAAGTTGGAAACAGAATTTCCTATTCATAATAGAAGCATAGTGCAAAGGTCTACAAATTGCCAGAAAGCGGTCATAAGACATTGCAGTCAAAATATATGTTTCTGTAGTCCCACAAAGACAGAAAAAATGATATTGGGCTAGGCACCCAATCACAGTAATAGTTTTCTCACCAGTCAGCAGATTGGCCAACATTTTAGGTAGCAAGTTACAACTATAGCAAGTGTCCAGGAAAGACAAATTTGCCAGGAAGAAGTACATTGGGCTGTGAAGGTATCGATCAGCTACAACTATGATAAAGATGAGGAGGTTTCCAGTTACTGTCATCAGATATATCACCAAGAAGAACCAGAAAAGGAGAGGCTGTAGCTGAGGGAGATTCCCAAAACCCAGAAGGATGAATTCTCTGATCCTCGTCTGGTTTCCTTTTTCTGAATCCAAAATTTCTTCCATTCATCAAATATCAATCATTTCTAGAATACAGACCAAGAAGCAGACAGGTTCAAAGGCCAATAAATGAAATACCTCTTTTCCTATCAGTTTCTTGAAAATTTGAAAATATCCTGAGAACATTGGTAGCTCTTACTGACCATAAGTTCACTGAGATAGCAGGATAGCTGGGATTTTATGTTTAAAAGTAGCAAAACTATTTTGTTTGTGCCTACTTTGGAAAGCAGTATAGTTCAGGGCATCAAGCATTTCCATTTCCTTTCCCCCTACCAAACTTACATTCTATCTGTCCTCTGCAGATTTGTAAACTGTGGTCAATGTGACATAAGTAATTCCAAAACGTTGGATCACTTTTCTGGAAACCAGCGTGAAGCTCTCAATAACATCAGTTAGAAGATATGTTAGATATGTACAAACTGGCTGCAGTACATCGAGTTACACACCCCAGAACCCTTTCTAATTTTTGGAATACATTGGTCTTGGAATCCCCAAAAAGATAACATTTATTTACCGAGGGAAGCACCTGAGGAAAGATGACACTGGAACTAAAATTAACATGGAACTAGGACATTCTGCAAGTGACGTGGAATGTTTAACACATTGTCATTATACCTGTTTGAAAATGAGAACAGAGTTACATAGTTACTCTTTATAACAAATTAGGAAAGCTTGCAAATAAATCAGCCAAGTGACTTTTATGTTACCAAAGGCTAATACATAATTTTCTAAACAGTCCAGTAGGTTTGTAAGTATTCACAGAACTATATTTTATTAATTAGTCAAGTGCTTCTCTGTGGTGTAAAAAAAGAAATGTTTTTCTTGGGGCATTCCGGAATCAACTTCTACCTAAGATATTAACCAGGAAGAGGAAACTGCAAAGTAAAACTTATTACAAAGCCATCAGTGATAGAAAAAAGTATTCCTTGGCAAGCATCTAGGAGGTTATCTTCCCTGAATGACATACAGTTTCAAAAAATCAGCCCAAGAGAAAAAGAGTC